GGTTGACTACATAGAGAGGATCCTTCTGAGAGGGAGAGTTCAATCTGTCTTTGTTTACTGGAGCAGTTCAGGAGTTTCTATTTGGTCCTTCCTGATTCACCCTGTTTGATTAATCATTATGCTGATATAGCTTTGTGGTACCATAAACATAAATTACACATCAGCTCAGTTCATTGGAATTTGATGTATTTTTCTGGCTCATTTTTAGTGTTATTGTTTAGAGTGGAGTGAAAACACCCTCTCAGGCAGCTATAAAAGAAAGTAGGACCAACTCTCTGCAGAAATCTGAACATCCTGTACAAAGAAGCTTCAGCAGCTCCTCATCACACTTTGAGACTTAAAGCTCCAACATGATCTTGCTCCTCTTCCTGCTCGGTCTGGCTCTGGGTGCTCCTTCTGAGTCTCCTTCTGATGACAATGAAGTGAAGCTCCAACTTGGTAACTTTTTTTTGTGCATTTGTTTTTATCTTTTTAATATTACTTAGCAAATAATAGATTTTAAATGCACCTTTATCATGTTTCTTGTTTTGTTTTGCTCAGGATAAATATGTGTTAGTATAATTGGGGATACATGCATTAATTTGGTTCCACGTTTCAAACCTCCAGCAGAACCAGGCTCAGACAGGAGCAGCCATTTACTGTGACTGGTGGAACTTTAGGCCTCATCAAAAAGAAAAGCTTAATATTAAAAGTAAGATTAGTGTCCTGAATCCAAACTGGAGCTGGTTCCACAGTAGAGGAGGCTTAAAGTAGAAGGCTCTGCCTCCCATTACCCTCAAAACCACAAGTAAACCAGCAGTCTGAGAGCAGAACAGAGTATTTAATACCTTGTATGTGAGGAGAAAGATTTTATATTTTAATCTGGATTTAGCAGGGAGCTGATGCAGAGAAGCTAATATGTAATGTTTCTTTCTATTCCCTGAAGTACATACAGAAAAGCAGCCTGACACCAGGTCTCTTCAGGTTTCTTCTGTCACTAAAAAACAAATCATGATCTTTTTCCTCTTCTTGTTTCTGTCTTTTTCAGATGACCGAGCAGTGCAGCTGCAGCATGGAAACTGTCCCCCGTTCTGGTGGAGCTTCAACGGCCGCTGCTATACGTATGTAGCTACACCGATGAGCTGGTCTGATGCAGAGTTCCACTGTTTGTCACAGGGAGCCAACCTGGTGTCCATCCACAACATGGAGGAAGATAACTTTGTCAGATCCCTGATCAGGAACTTCGATCCTGCTCAGAGACCCACCTGGATTGGACTCAGTGATGTTCACAGAGAGGGCAGATGGATGTGGTCGGATGGCTCTGTGGTAGACTTTTTTAACTGGAATGCAGGCGAGCCAAACAACTTGGCAGGAAAAGAGCACTGTGCTACAAACAACTTTAGCTCACATAAGAAGTGGAATGACTGCCCATGTTCTCTCAGTTTTTCATCTGTTTGTTTAAAACGCAAAGACTAATCCAAGATACTAATTCAGCAATGGCATGGTATGTTGACATGTATGGGGATTCCACAAAAAAGATAACAATGTAAACTTTTATGTCAGTTTTGTTGATCTGTGCTTTAAATTGATAAAGTATTCCTACTGCTTCTGTGTGTATGTAACCATTGAACGACAGAATCTGTACAACGCTGTTGGCCTAATGACACTTATCAACTTTCACAAAACAGTAACAGGGACAGGCATTAGTAGTTTTTAGTGCATATCTTATCTTAA